GTTACCATCTGTATTTATCTGCACATTACCAAGCCTCCTTCTCCTTGGAAACCTTTCCAGATAAGACCAGTCAACACAGACAGTTCTTTCTGATGTCTGTGAAAGAGTTCTTATGACCATATCCTACATTTTGACATGTGCTCACTATAAGGCACTGGTCAAATGACCTAGTCCAGATAACCATGTTCCACGAGAGGAAACTGAGGTGGGAAAGTGGAGGAACTTGTCCAAGGACAGAAAACTGAAGACTCTCAGTACAGAGATTTGAAACTGCCAGTAGCCATGATCATAGGTGGTTAGGAAACTTGGGTTTTACATGAGACATGACTTTAAACAACGAGAGTAGGATGCTCTGCAGTAGACTCTTGGCACTTTGAGAGGTTGGGGGTATCTAACCTAGGGCCTCTCAAACCCTAGGCTAGCAGTGTTCTACCACAGAGCCTTTCCAGAAGATCCCTGGAGCCAGGGCTATAACTCAGTGGTAGAGAACTTGCCACATATGCCCAAGGCTCAGGGTTGATCCCCAGCACCGGAAAATAAAGTTAAAAATAAATAAGTAAAGAAACAACTATCATAATGCTTATTTGTGGCTGGTGGGGGTTCACATCTATAATCCCAGCCTTCAGGAGACAAGGCAGGATTACTGGAAGCTTGAGCCAGCCTGAGCTATTAAATAGGCCCAGAAAGAGATCCCATCTAAAACAAAAAAGGAAGAGAAAGGGGAAAAAAAAAAAGGAAGACAGAGAAAGAGAGAAAGAGAGAAAGAGAGAGAGAGAGAGAGAGAGAGAGAGAGAGAGAGCCTTGCATCAAATGTAATCTGATCAAAGCCCTGTTCTCTCAAAGGGCTTTATTGGCTCCTCAGTTTAGGATTACTGGAAGCCAGTTGGAGAACAAGTATCCAATCAGAACAAAGATACTCTGAAAGGGGACACAGTCTGGTTGGAGCTGGACTTGGACAGTAGCCAGTCTCCTTATTTCACTGCATGACTGAGCAAGTTGCTTAGCTTCTCTGGGTCTCAATGTCTCACTTATGAAAAGAAGATAATGGGGTTAAGAATATAGCTAAGTATTAGAGTGCTTGCCTGGTATGTGCAAGGAACTGGGTTTGATCCTCAACATCGCTAACAATAAAAAGAAGAGAGAAAAGAAAAAGAGAGGGAGAGAGGGAGAGAGGGGAAAGAAGGAAAGATGAGAGAGATGGGGGGCACTACTTAACCAAGTTGTGGTGTTCCCATAAATTTCTTAAGATAACATACTTAAGAAAAAAAGGCAAACTCACAGTAGGTAAGCACATGACAATCTCAACACAACTTAAGTAAACGCCAGAATTGGGGAGAAACAGCCATGGACCTTCAAGAGCATTTATGAAGTTATAGACATCCACTCATGTCAGCTTTGAACCGTCCATTTATTTCAGGAGCAGCTGTGCATCAGGCTCTGGGCTCACAGTCTCAGTACCTGGTTTTTGTATAGTTTTCATTGCAGCTGAATGGGTCTACGGCTTCCTCCTGATGCATCTAGGTACTTTATGAAATAATACTTATGGCAAGTTTGAATCAAGCTAAAGATGGGACCAGAGAGATGACTAATCAGTGAAGAACACTTGGTGCTCTTGCACGGACCCAGGTTTGGTTCCAGCACCCATATGGGGCGGGTGGCTCACAACTATCTATAACTCCAACTCCAGGGGACCCGATGCCTTCTTCTGGCCTCTGAGGGTACTGCACACACATGGGGCACATGCAGACAAGCAGGCACATAAACATACACATACAAAAATAAGTAATTTTTTTCTTTTTTGGACAGGGTATCCCCCTAGTCCCAAGCCTCCTGGAACTCACCAAGTAGGTCAGGCTAGCCTCAAACTCACAAAGATCTCCCTGCCTCTGTCTCCTGAAAAATAAGTAAATCTTAAAAGGAAAAAAGAATCATGCTAAAGGCTAGAGAGAGTTTGCTACTTTGCAATCACTCATTGTTTTTGACAAAAAAAAAAATCATATCACACAACACAGTTAGTTTCACTTATCAGTAACCTGATCTAGGAATTATTTTGTTTCCCAAAGTTGAATCCATCTTTATTGAGGACAAATCCCCCGGACTAAGCCCTTTGTAAAGGAAAGCAAACTAGAGACAATTTGAAGATCGTTCCAAACAAGTTCTAAAAAAGCACTTTCAAAAGCACTAAAAATGTCCCTTTCAAAGATGTGCTTGTAAGAAAGTCTCACTGCCCCCCCGCCTTTTTCCAAGAAAAAAAAAATTATGTAGTTTGGAGTTACACAGACTCTTTTGTGTATAACTGCACCTTCTGGAAAACTGACATGGAACTGTATACACAGCAAGCTCAAAATGAGTAATTTATGGAATTGAACTAAGCCTCGAACACACTGGGATGAAAGAGACATGTGAGCAGGATCATAAGTCTTCTGTCCCGAGACATGAATGAAAATCTCCTTAGGGATACAGCCCTACCTGTAATTTATTTCCACATTATTCTTACGTGCAATATTATTTTTGGCATGTTAATGTATTGTCAAAGAATTCCAATCTAGTGACATGACAAAAGTTGTATTTCATTTCAGAATGCAAAAAGTGTGAAAATCAATTGAATTATATATCAATGACATGCAATAAGGGTAAGCAGTATATTCTGGGTAATGTCATTTCTCTGGAATGAATAGCAGCCTAGAGAGCTTGGATTAATTACTAGAGTTTGATTCTTACTGTTATAATCAGTTGAATTGTTGAAGGGAGATAAAAACCAAAAGTCTTCTCCCCTTTCCCCCCAAAAGAAAGAGTGATTTGCCAGAACCCACATAATTTAGATGATGAATTTCTCTTCTGGGCAACTGACTAAACCCCTAAGTTTATACTGGCAAATAAAATAAACACTGAAAGTTGAAATCACTCTTTGATCTGGTAAATAAAATCTGCAGAAAATTCAGCCTCAATTACTCTTGAAATTTATGACATAGCCAGTATCGCAGCAAGATTGGGGGCGCATGCAGGTTTTCATTGAAAACACAACGTGCTCAGTGTATGCCACAAAAATCAATGTGATGCCTGCAAATAACCAAAAGCATCCTGACATCTTCACTTCGCTGATCATTTGGAGAGTGCCAGGACTGGCTTGGACTATACTGTAGTAAGTGTGTAGCACTCTAGTAGATGCAAAGAAAAACAAGACACAGTCTAAGAAAGGAGTAAATTCTGCCACAGAACTACTATATACAGTCTATATAGGCTGTTCAGTGAACAGCTAAGGGGAAAGTGAGGCCTAACTGGGAACGTCATTTTCTCAGATCAACTAGGGCCACAGCAGTCCAGCACCAGAGCTGGTACTGAGTGAGTGATTACTGTGTCTCTGGCATGGACTGCACATGCTTCACACCAATATGATGGAGTGGGTACTACTACTATCTGCTTCTTATATCTGAGTAAACTAGGCACAGGGAAATTCATTGACTTGCCCGAACTCCAACAGCTAATAAATGGAGAGCATTTACTCTGGGCCCTGAGAGGCGAGATAAAATGTTATTAGCAAGTTTAGGTGATGTTAAGGAATGCAATCAAAATATTTCTGGGAGGGAGAGGGGAGCAGCGCTTCTCAGAGCATGTGAAACCCTGGCAGGCAGGAAGGCATTTAACACAGGGTGAACTAGAGGAAGACAAGTGCTTTCCCTGGAATCTGAGCACAGTGAAGGAAGATTCGAGAACAGATGCTGAGGCAGCCCTTCCTCTGCAGAGCTGAGGCAGTGGAAGTTTCCATGCAGAGTAACCCTGTGATCAATGCCGTCATGAGTGTGTGTGTGCGTGCCTGAGTGCATGCGTACTTGTGTGCGTGCATGCATGTGTGTGTATGTAGGGAGGCTTGTGTGTGAGTGCATGAATGGCAGGAACTTGTGTATGTGACTGGAATGTGTGTGTACTCACATGGGGGACTTGCATGTGTTCATGTGTGTACGGAGGTGTGTGTGTATGTGTGTATGTGCACTTATTCTACCAGCTCCAACTTCACTTGTTAGCTCTTACACAGTTCTATAAGATGACAGTTTTCTTCTTTAGAACAAAATTCTCTCTACTCAAATATCCAGGGGCTGCTCTTATGATTATTCATTTCCATGTGTAAATAAAAGCAAAAATACAACTACTAACATACTGCAGCCAATGAGCCAAAATTCCCTCAGTCACACTGTCACCAAAGCAACCGCATTAATTCCAGCATCTTGGGGCATTGCTGTGATCCTGGCACTAGGGACCCCGAAGCATGAGGATTCTAAGTTCAAGGCTAGCCTGAGTTACCTAGTCAGATAGAGGAAAGCCAGCCAGGGCTCCACAGAAAGACCCTGTCTCAAGAAAAGAAGGGGAGAAAAAAAAGAAGTAACAGGATCAATAAGTAATTTAAATAACTTGATCCATACCATTTAAATTATCAAACAGGCCGGTTTTGATCCTTTTCCTTTTTGTATTGATGTGACCTTTAGAGCACCTGAATCTACATGTCATGAGTGTTCATCTGGACTGACTCATGCTTCCAGCGCTGAGAATTCAGAACTGAGAGTGTAGTGAGGGTTCTATTGACTCTGTGAAGTGGAAGGCTGATTATTGCTGGATGGCAATAACCTTAATTATCAGGGACCAGAGCGGTTGCTTCCAGCCATCTCTACAACAGAGACACTGACTGAAGAGCCCTTTGCTAATCATTCTCTTCTAGAATCTTCCTAAATCCTTTCCACGGCACACAGCTTACTTACTCTTTCCCTTTGATAGGTTGGCTTTCCAGGCATGTAGAAATCTTCCTAACATAGCAGCAGGGCATGATGGGAAACACCTAGAATGGTGTGGGATGGGATATGAAGAAACTGACAAAAGGACAAATAAGTGTTAGAGAACTTGATTCAGCAATTGAAACTCTCAGGACATCCAACCAGTGGGTTGAGAACATATTTCCGGGGTGGTAGGGACAGGCAGGGGGCAAGGGACTTACAAAAAGTACCATTCTATGCCTCCTGGTGATTACGACAGGCTGTATTTTTACACTGGCTATATAGAAAGAGGAGGCAGAACAAACCTGCCCCTATATACCCCAGCCCAGGCCACTGTGCTTGGTCTGTATTGTGAATAGGGAGACAAGGAAAAAAAAAAAAAGTACCATTCCAAAAGTCAGATCAGCAAACCACAGTCCAGTTTCTTATGGTTCAGAACAAGGCTCTGTAAGATTGAGAAGCAGGGCACAGCACCCATGGGAAAGGAACAGCGGGAGCTTATTCATGGAGAATTTCAGGGCTACAGGCAGAAGTCCTGGATCCAGTGAGGAACAGGAATGAGCCAAAAAGAGACAGAAGTGGTCGCACTTTCTGGGCTGAACAAGTGTGTGGGAAGCTGTGGCCCCACCGCAGGTAGATGCCAGTGCTCATTCCAAGCTAAACAGACGTGCACGCCACAGCAGCAAAATGAGTTCCATGCCCAGGGAGTAGGTGGTGCTGAGGTCACCCCCAAACCACTCACCGAGGTCTGCACAGACAGTAAAGGAAAAGATCAGGCCCACCACTCAAGCAGGGAAAATCCCCTTCATACGGAGGCCCATACAGCAGGGGACAGGAAACAGCACCCATGATGTCATCCAACGCAACTTTAGATTTACTCTGTGTCCAGCAGTGTATTTCACTTATTTATTTTTTCATTTTCCAAATGTTCATGATGAACAGCATTGGCCTCACTAATAAAATCCAAAAACAATATGGTTTTCTATTATGGCTAAGAAAAGTTCTAGAACAGGATGGATGAACGGTTCAGGTTCAGGGAAACACTTGGGAACACTGCAGTGTCTCTAAAAGGGCAAGGACTTCCAGGCCAGAGACACGAGTGTCTGGGAAAGGAGAAGGAGAAAAGAGCTGCGGATAGTTGGACAAAGCAAGAGGCATTTTTCTACATTTTGTTTGCACAATTGGAAAAATAACTTGTGAGACCTTTAAGGTGTTTTAAGAAGGAGACGTGCAAGACTTAAAGCATTCCATTGGTGAATGACCAGGAAAGGTGCACGGAAGGCCGGCTTGGCACACACATGACCGAGTTTCAAGGTAGTAAGCTCCAGAGTGAAGCAAGAGGAACACTAACAGAAACAGCTGATGACAAAGTAATCAATGCATTGAATTCAGGAAGAAGGAGAATCTACCTATCCAATTCTACAGGGACCTGAAGGCCTGCTTTTCTGTAGTGTGGGTATTTTTAAGTTCATACTTAAGCCATGAAATCATTTTCCTTCCTAGTTAACAAAACCCTAAAGGCACTTCGTAAAACTGGAAGAAAACAGTGCCTAAGCGATGGTGCAAAAACAATCAGCCTCATCTAACCATAGAACAATGGCTTTCAGAAAGGCGGTCTTTTCTGCTCTGGGGACAGTGGGAGGGAAAGCTCACAGTAGACTTAGAGGCAATAATTTGCATTAGGCAACTTAAAATATACATAATCCTTTATATGAAAAGGTAGCTGCCAACAGCTGTCACAGGTAGACAAGGAATCTTACATTTGTTTAAAACAAGTTTAAAAATTAATTGATTTTTTTTAAAGAAAGGAAAGAAAGGCTTTGATGGTAAAAACCTCGAGAAAGTAAATTCTTAGAAGAAGTTTCTTACAAGCAAGTACTAATGAATTAAACACCTTTGCTTTCGAGTGCGCATCTCATTAATGAACAGTGCCCAGAAACTAACATATAATGACCCAATATGCATGAAACCTCTTATTACGGGTGTCACAAGCCCAGGTAAGCATATAGCTCAAAACTAAGGGTCTTGTTCCAGTAGGTATGAAAGTCTTTAGAATAAACATTTTAATCCAATATTTCAAATTACGTTAAAATAGTTCAAACTAGTTTAAGGTTTTGCTGAGGATGTTCAGGGCACCAAACCTCAAAGACTAAAAGTAAGGCAATAGGACTATGGTGATGATGGCTCACTTGGTAATGTGCTTGCTGCACAAACATGAGGATCTGAGTCCGGGTCTCCACGCAAAAAGGCATTGGGAAGGCGGAGAAGGAGAATCCCTAGAGTTGGCTGGCCAGCTAGTCCTGTTGAAGTTCTAGGTCCAACGAATGACCATCTCAAAATATAAGGTGGGGAGAGAGATTAGTCATCCAAGGTCAATCTCTGGCCTCCACACACACATACACACGTATATACACATACACCATATACGCAAATTAAATTTTTTTAAAACACATGCAAAAAATTAAAGGGGAAAAGCCAATCTACAGTATATCCAAGTCACAGGAGACTGACTACAGCCATTAAATAAAATGTTACAGCATACACGTCTTGATCTGGAAAGATTTTATGATCTTGCTGCATGAAAATTAAGTAAATTTAGTGTGCACATGTATATGTGTACATGCATATGTCCAAAGAAAGTATGGAAGCCAAGAAACCACAGGACAAGCAGGGTCCTTGGAGTACAGCAAGAACAAAATAGCTTTGCCCATCTTTACAGGAGTGTCCCACATTTTAACAAACTGTAGGAATTTGTGATTTATTTTCAAACCCAATAACCTTGTGATTCATATGCTCCTTTGAACATGGCTTTAAGCCATATTTAAACAGGAGGCTTAGACAAGGAGAGATTTCTGTGCTATGCAGACACAATAAAACAGCAATACTATTAAATCTGTTTTACTCTAGTTAAATGTTGCTCAGTAGATGATTGATTGATAGATGAAATGTTAAGATATTTTCTTCAGCCAAAGACTTAAGTATAGAAATATATATAACATGTACATGAATTATATGAATTACAGTGCAAACTTAAAAACATGTATATATAAGCTAAATGTGGTGGCACATGTCTGTCTTTAATCCCACCACACAGGAGTTAGAGGCAGGTGGATCTCTGTAAGGCCAGCCTGCTGGACATAGTGAGTTCCAGGTCAGCTGGGGCTACAGGGAGACCGTGTCTCAAAACAAAAAATACATACATACACACATAAACACATGTACATGCTCATTTCCCAAATAAGATGCACAAAGGTTTAGAGAGATGGAATTATTTCCACGAGATTCACACATCTAGAGTGCTTGCCAGACATGTGTAATGCATGGGTTTGGATCCCCACCCCTACATACCTGGGGGTGGTGGTACATGCCTGTATTCTCAGCATTTAGGAGATGGAGGCAGGAGGGCTGAGGATCTGAAGTTCAACCAAGGCCAGCTTGAGCTACATGTGACCTTGTCTCAGACACACATACACACAGGGAGCAAGAGAGACAGAGACAGAGACAGAGACATATACATCTAAAAGAGTCCTGGCCAATAGGATGGAAGTTTCTCAACACTGTGTGTCTTAAGTCTGTTCAGATCAAAATGTCATAAACTGGCTAGATTAAAAATAACAGAAATTGGGGCTGGAGAGATGGCTCAGCAGTTAAGAACACCGATTGTTCTTGAAGAAGACCCAAGTTCGAATCCCAGCACCCACATGGCAGCTAACAACTGTTCATAAGTCCAGTCCCAGGGGGATCCAACAGCCTCTTTTGACCTCTGCGGGCATTGCACGACACGGGTGCACTTACCTAATTGTTCTTGAAGAAGACCCAAGTTTGAATCCCAGCACCCACATGGCAGCTAACAACTGTTCGTAAGTCCAGTCCCAGGGGGATCCAACGCCTCTTTTGACCTCTGCGGGCATTGCACGACACGGGTGCACTTACCTACATGCAGGCAGTACATGCATACACATAAAATAAAAATAATAAATAAAAAAATAAAGTAAAATAACAGAAATTGGGGCTGGAGAGATGGCTCAGCAGTTAAGAGCACTGGCTGCTCTTGCAGAGGACCTGGGTTCAATTCCCAGTATCCACACGGTGGCTAGCAACCATCTCTAACTCCAGTTCCATGGGATCTGACACCCTTTACTGACCTCTACAGGGATCACACGACACGGGTGCACTTCCACACATGTAGGCAATGCATGACACTGGTGCAGTTACAAACATGTAGGCAATGCACTCATATACATAAAGATAAGTAATTTTTAAAAAATTTTAAAAAGGAAATAACAGAAATTATTTTTCTAAGTTCCAGAGGATGGATGTCTACCACCCAAGCAGATTCTATGTGCTTGCTATACACAAGGCCATTTTCTGGCCCACAGATGGCATCTTCTGCCAGAGTCTTCAGGTAGAAGAGATATCCCAAAGCTTCTACCTTCTAATGCCAGTACCTTTGGGGTTAAGAGGGCAGCCCATGAATTCGGAGGGACATAAATATTCAGACCACAGCAACCAGCCACATTGGCATCAAAAGAAACCCATGTAGGTACAGGTGGGTGACATGAGAACAGAAACCTGACACCAAACCAAAATCTCATAGATCTGCCACGAACAGACAGTCTTTTCTAGAACAAAGAGAAAGACATGAATGTGAGAAGGAATTAGTTATATTACTCCACCCCTAAATTCCTATTCTAAAGATTTAACCCCAGTGGTGCTGTATTCGAAGATAAGGCCTACACACAGGACTGGTAAAAATTAAATGATGTCAATGCCAATGAGATAAAGACACTTGCTGGTCAACCCTAATGGCCTGAGTTTAATCTCGGGGACCCACTTGGTGGAAGGAAAGAACTGACCCCCGCTAATCATCCTCTGACCTCCACATGAATGCTGTGGTATGTGGCATGTGCACACACACATACACTCATAAAATATTTAATTTTTTTTATAAAGTTAAATGATGGCAGAAAGATGGGGCATTGATCTCACAGACAGGACTAGTGTCCGTAAAGAAAAAGGAAGAGACACCAGAGATCTGCTTCTCACCTCCAGGCCCAGGAAAAAAAGACTATGTGAGGACAAAGGGAGAAGGCACCCTTCCTGGAGCCCAAGAGGCCCCACCACCAGAAACTAACTTGATGACAATCAGCTGTGAGAAAATAGTATTGTTAGTGCGGCTGGAGTGCATCCATGCACCTAAGAAGATCAGTCTCGCACATCTGAAAACCAAGGTTTCTGAGAAGTCAAATTCAGAGCTGAAAAGCAAATGAACTCAAGGCTGTCCTCCTGCTTCTCTTGACCAGTCCTGTTACCCATTCATAACTCTACTTGTAATATACATTATATTGGTAAATTACCATGCTGTCTGA